GGTTAAGACTGCTATTGTCGGCTTAACATTTATCAGCTCACGTGACATATGTTGCATCTCCTTCTTTGTCCAAAGACCTGAAAGATTGAAAGCCAAAAACATGGTAACATCTGGACTGCTCCATCCTGTTGTCTGTTAGGGATTTGTGCCCATGATAAGGCAGGTATTCCAAAAAGTCAAGGCATCTCGAACACTTAAAAACTGAACCCATCTGTGTGTCATGAAAGTATTACATCTTGCATAAAATTGTGCATGATCTATGAGTGTTGCTCAGACTCAACAGCTCTCTATGCTGATTTTGTAGTTGTTGAAACTCTTTTTGCAGTTTGTCCCTAGAAAATATGATTAAAGATTATTTTCATTTGCACATGAAAAACATAATTTTTATGAATTTATAAGGTTTGGTTTGGTTAGATTTTATGTGAAGTCTGCATTTATTTAATCAAAAAAACCTGTGAAAAATTATTACAATTTAAAATACCCATAATCTCTTATTATTATTTAAAATAGTTGTGCTGCTTAATATGTTTGTGGAAACAAAAATGGAATTGGAATTTTTTCCAAGTCCTTTGATAAACAGAAAGTTCAAAAGAACAGTGTTGAAAGAGACAACATATTCTGTTACACCAAATACACCAAATAATTTTCTTTAAAAAAGCATCATATGACCCCTTTAACATAATGTCCTTACCGTCACATTTCACCAATTTAATGTCCTTGCTGAATAAAACAATTCATTTATTTAAAAAAAAAGTACAATATTACAATATTACAAAATGTAATTAAAATATTTAATTAAAATAATTATGAATTATGAATTATTTAAATAAAATTCTGTTCTGCTAAAAAAAACGGTATACATAACATACTTATACACTCTTAAAAATAAAGGTGCTTAAAAGATACTTCACAGCGATGCCATAGAAGAACCATTTTTGGTTTCACAAAGAACCATTCAGTCAAAGGTTCTTTAAAGAACCATCTCTTTCTTACCTTTTTATAATCTTAAGAACCTTATTTCGCCACAAAGAACCTTTTATGAAACAGAAAGGTTCTTCAGATGTTAAAGGTTCTTTATAGAACCATTTAGACAAAAAGGTTCTTCTATGGCATCGTGAAGCACCTTTATTTTTAAGAGTGTAAGTGCTCAAATGGAGAATCTCTGTGACATGATTGCATTCATATTTGCAGCCATGTGAAAAGAGAAATTGAATCTTTTTTTTTTTTTTATGTGCCTGAGTTTGTGCATGTTCTAACACATAAACATTCCTGAAATGAAAACCACTTGAGCTACCACCCTCTTTTCCTTATTTAGTATGTACAATAAGAGAACTTATTCTGAGTATAAATCATATTGCATTTTATGAGAGTTCCGTATGAGACTTCCTTGCTTGTTACACCCTCCAGTAGTATCCTAATTAGGTAACATAAAGTTGGCTTCTACCACGTATCTCAACTAAATGCAAAGCACTGAACTCTGAACTGCTCTGAGAAGGATTAGGACTGACCCATTGCCATACACGGAAAACACCTGGGAAAGGTTTGTACCTGTCGAAAACAAACATTGGGGTTACATCACGGCATATGTCATGTAGTTTACTCACACAACCAAACATGCTTAGATCCTTTCTGTCAACTTTAGTCATTTTGATTATATTTCCATATTGGGAGTCTACCTGTCCCCATTGCTTAAAGAGTGCAGCATCCACCAGTCCATCCCATCTGATCTTTAGCATGAGTGTGTGTTACCTGCAGTGTTTCCATATAGGGTACTTTAGGTCTGATGGGTGGAGACAGTCAATAGGTCAATTATAGTGTTTTTGTATTTAATCTTATTGTGTACTTCCATTCTCCTATATTAAATACAGTAAAGAGGCACAACAATGCTTTAAAAAGAAAAATAATCTTTCTGAACAAATGCAATGACAGGAGAAGAGAAGCAGAGAGTCCCAATCCCTCTAAGTTCTAATTTCCGCTTTAAGGAGTCATGTGACTTCGCCTTGGCGTTCCAAAGTACTATACCATGTGACTCATCCAGAGATTGCCTTATAAGGAGATTGGCTGAATATCTCTTAAAGGGGCCCTGAACATAGTGCCTCTGTAAACAATACACAACACAAAGGTTATTTCATTTCCTTTATATTGGGCAGTGTGACATGTTTGAACTCTGTAAATGGCTATATGGAAGAAAACATTTCATTTCTGGTTCTAATTTCCGCTTTAAGGAGTCATGTGACTTCGCCTTGGCGTTCCAAAGTACTATACCATGTGACTCATCCAGAGATTGCCTTATAAGGAGATTGGCTGAATATCTCTTAAAGGGGCCCTGAACATAGTGCCTCTGTAAACAATACACAACACAAAGGTTATTTCATTTCCTTTATATTGAGCAGTGTGACATGTTTGAACTCTGTAAATGGCTATATGGAAGAAAACATTTCATTTCTGGTTGCTGTGTGTGTGTTGGTACACTCCATCACAATAAACATGGCCATATGTCAAAACATCTGCTTAAACTAATAAATGAATGAACAATCGCCCTTTACAAGCTTACCACACAGTTTATACGCTGCACTTATTTCCAAGAGTAGCCTAAATTAAGTTTGGCTTACTTTATATTTCCTTTCTGATATAGGCTCCTGCGACTTCCTCTCAGAATTGTCACAGTGTGCTGTGGGTGTAAGACTTTAAGTCGTCTATCTCTCTTCCTCTTCCTCTTTCTGTTTGAAACATCCTTATAAGGGCTACAGTATTCTGCTGATGAGAGAAACAATGCAGGTTTCAAAACAGATAAAACACCATCATAAACACGTATATATGTTACAACCATTGGAGTCACAGACTCTCACACCCTAAACATCAAGCTGATACTCACACACCCCGTAGAGACCGAATGCTGTACCTATTCCATACATTAGGAATGTGAAGCGCTTCGTGAAAAATTATGTAGCAATAGACTGTAACAATGACTCATTCACCTCTGTGACTAAGCTTATCTATCCTTTATGGCTCATTGAGCTATAGTATAATAGTAAGATTACACTGTTGAGTTCACTGTGGAAACCGGTACATAGATAGTCAAAACTCAATATTAATACAGTTGCATGCCTATAGGCACATGCTTGGTTGGGTTGGGCGGGTGTATGGGTGCCACTACTGTTAGAAGAATCATTCCAACCATCTCTTAATGACAAGCCACTTTCGTCACTAGATAAATCACACACTAGACTGTTGACCAAACGCTTCACTGCAGTGACACACCGATGCTTCAATATAACTGGCTCCTGAATACTTCAATAACATAAAACACAATTTTGTTGTCTTTTCAATTCCACATTTATAAGTCAATGCAAAGCACCCGAGTCAAGACATGTTGCCACCTGTCTCAGATTGCCCATGCTGAAGGCAGCACACATATAATAGTGATTATCACTTATGGAACAAAATATAGCCTATAAACTCACAAAGATTCCACTGTAACATCATAGTAAATGAATATGGGGTCTCATTTAAGTAGTATAAGAAGATTTCAGAATGATTAAAAAAAAAAGTTTTTGATTACATTTGAGGCTAATACCACGTTATCACAGTTTTACTTTAAATGCTGAATGTTAACTATAGTTACCCAGGGAAATTTGGGTTTCAAAACGGCCGCATTTAACATTTAGAAAACACTTAAGATGCATACTGCTATTTGAAATATGAATATTATTTTTTTTATGCAAAGTAACAAAGCATGTAACATGTGAGCACTCCCAACCCCAAGATTTTTCTAATCTAATGCATGGTCTAATCATAGACTGTATAAAAACAGGGTCTAATGCAGCAGCGTGACACGTAATCGGTTATGACGTATTACGCAAAAGCCGGGTTGACAGGAAGTGTCCGGTTCAGGCTAGCAGCATGCCATTGTTTTGTATCCCTTGCTTTGCAGACAACCCGATAAGCTAAAATATTTAAAAATCAGTTGATCTTATACACTTCCGAGCCACGATGTATACAGGACACATAGGTCTGAATAAGAAATCGTCAACATTTCATTCATTTCTGAATGACTCCTGAAGCATCCGTAGCCTGCAAGCTTTTTACATTCACAGCATTGCAAACGGCAAACTGATCCAAAGCATTGTGCACAAAAGCAACCTGTGATTACGTGAAACAGTGCAACAGATGACAGATTAATACGTTTTAATACTGATTTACTGTCGAACTTACAAAGGTCATGAGAAATATCTGTACTTTAAATGGGAGCCACGCCCACGTAGTTCATCTAATACAAACTGACCTAATAAAATGAGTTACTTGCATAGAACAATAAATGTCCTTTTATGAACTAATGCTGAATGAATCGCTTTGAACTAGATTGTCAAAAAAATTTGGAAAGTAAGCAGCTCAGTCTATATGATCAAATAATGCTCTGTTTTACCAATAATGATGACTCGCTTATAGACTACTGCATTATGGTCATTTATAGTGCATGACATACATTAAAATACAAATAATGTATAATGATTTTTAAAAATGTATTAAAACAAGAACAGTATGTCGCAGTAGGCTGCAGTGTTCTCTGTCGTTTCTGCAACCTGATTAAAGGCTTATTTAAATGTATTTGATCCATTGCTAGAGGTTCAGTGACCTAGTAAGCGATCTACATTATTCAGTCGCTATGTAAAATGTATAGCAAAGTAAAAAGCCACCTTAGCAGTCCAGCATTCTACACTGAATCGCAAGATAATGTCACTGCGTCCCATGCCAAATTAAAATATTTTTTACTCAGTAATACATATATATAGCTGTGTGGAATTAAATTACTTTTCCTGTCTTTCTTTTTCAAATACATTTGCCTGCTTGATTAGCCTTGCCATACATTATTTCAATTCAGAACTTGAATTTCAAGCAACTAGCTTGGAACTCGCCAAGTGGACGACGGCTGGCCAATCAGATTGCTCGATGCCGAAAGTTTACCTTATATGGAAGGAGCCGGCCGCAGCGCCGGGTATAAAACTGTGACCCACCTCACGCATAGTATTGTGAGTTTTCAGTGCACACTGAGAAGGTCTTCACACCCCTTGTTCACAATAACCTACTAATACACAGGTGAGACTGGCTTTATATCACTAATAAATGGTGTTCAGTATTATATTAGTACTTCAAATGACGCTGGTTGAAAGTTAGTTTATTATTGCTGAAGTTACGTAGAGTAACAATTATATATTGGTATGCGACTTGAGTTTTAATTCTGAATGCAATTGGAGTAAACAGTGTAATTTTACTGTGGGTTTTACAGCTCTAATTTTGAAGGCTAACGTCGAGTTACACCTTTTTTTTTTTTTACCTCTCAGTGGTATCAACCGATAGCTTTTTAGCTTTCTTAGCTGGACGGATTTAACGTTAAAGCTTTTTTTCTGTAAACCGAGGGGCTTAATCTATTCTTTTGGGTGTAAAGTGCTTTAATTGATTAATATAATGCAATTAAATGTGGATTTAGTGGAGTAGTGTTCGCAGTTTGAATGGTGGGTGTGGCTACTATAACACCGTAACCGGCATCTCTTCCATCTGAGCCGTTTGATCCGTTCAAGAGGTCTAAACGTTTAAAAGATTGAACGTTTCTTATTCAAGACTGTGAAGTTACGCTGTAATGGAATTTAACAGGCTTGTCGTTCAGTCACTAAATATGATTGCAGCACTCGTGTGCTGAAACGCCTGCACTTCATAGCCACTTGATAAAGGTTAATTTAGCAAGCATCGGGATCATGATGGCGTTCGTCTGGTAAAGCGCTTATCTCGGCCTTTGAAACGGGGAGTGGTCGCGTCCGTTGGTCTGATTCCACGCGATGAATCGGCGGCATTGAGCTGCTCGAACTTATTGCCATATAAGGCAATAGTGAGACTGCCTTACCACTTCCTTTGTCTCAAACCGCTTGGTTTCATCCCTGCGCCTTTGCGCCGCCTACTGGCCAGTCGTCAAAAGCGTCAGACACCACCGCTTACAAGAGAGATACTGCCGATTGCATTAACAATTTAGCTTTTTTTTTTTTACAGCCATGGATGAGGAAATCGCTGCCCTGGTCGTTGACAACGGCTCCGGTATGTGCAAAGCCGGTTTTGCTGGAGATGATGCCCCTCGTGCTGTCTTCCCCTCCATTGTTGGCCGACCCAGGCATCAGGTATATAACTTAGTAACTTTTTAATTCCCTGACGACAGTTTATTAAATGTTAATGTCTGTCATCAAAAGCCTAGAAGATATTTTGTTACTATTAACGTTACCGTTTATTCTTTTGAATGTCAAGTTATACTTGCATAGTATTTAATACAAAACACATTTGCAAAGCAGCTTCACCATAATATACAGCAAATTGTTAATTTTGAAAAACTTAAACCACAACTTCAGGCGTACAGCAACTCTACAGCTAAATGTAGTTCAATGTTGATTTTAATTCGGTTCAATAAGTGTCAGTTTTGCAAGTTCATCAATTATAAAGTTGCTTTTAAAGAGCGCTCTACAGAAGACCGTAGCATCACCATTCAGTTAAGTTTGTTTTCATCGAATACTGTTAATGCAGTGCTAATTGAAGTTCTGAATCATAATGGTCTTTTAAACCCATTTTACATATTGATTCTGAATATTACTTGTTCTTTGTATATCCTCATTGCTGAGTGGCTTGGTGCCTAATCTTTAAACTCCTCTTTCCTCCAGGGAGTGATGGTTGGCATGGGACAGAAGGATTCCTATGTGGGAGATGAGGCTCAGAGCAAGAGAGGTATCCTGACCCTTAAATATCCCATTGAGCACGGTATTGTGACCAACTGGGATGATATGGAGAAGATCTGGCACCACACTTTCTACAATGAGCTGCGTGTTGCCCCTGAGGAGCACCCTGTCCTGCTGACAGAGGCTCCCCTCAATCCCAAAGCCAACAGGGAGAAGATGACACAGGTGCGTCTGTCAAATCATCATATGAATCCTACTGCTCTTGTCCCTTTCCTCTTTATTCACTTCCTTTCTATCCATTTCCTCTCAGGCTCTCTGTCCTCTGCCATGATATCCTGATAGGAGGTTCAAAAGGTTTATCCCTTTTTGAAATGTATTTCCTGCATGGTAGCTTCTCTAACACTTTACTTTTCTAACCCCATCTTGAGTGCGAGAAGTTATAGCATGGTGTGCCAAGGAGGCTTTGCTCCCTTAACCATGCAGTGCCTTTTGGTTCAAATGTGTATTCGTGGAATACGTCAAGAGATATCTGATTCTATAAATTTTTCTACAGATCATGTTTGAGACCTTCAACACCCCTGCCATGTATGTGGCCATCCAGGCTGTGCTCTCCCTGTATGCTTCTGGTCGTACTACCGGTATCGTGATGGACTCCGGTGATGGTGTGACCCACACCGTGCCCATCTACGAGGGTTATGCTCTTCCCCACGCCATCCTGCGTTTGGATCTGGCTGGTCGTGACCTGACCGACTACCTGATGAAGATCCTGACCGAGCGTGGCTACAGCTTCACCACCACGGCCGAGAGAGAAATTGTCCGTGACATCAAGGAGAAGCTGTGCTACGTGGCCCTCGACTTTGAGCAGGAGATGGGAACCGCGGCCTCCTCTTCCTCCCTGGAGAAGAGCTACGAGCTGCCTGATGGGCAGGTCATCACCATCGGCAATGAGCGTTTCCGTTGCCCTGAGGCTCTCTTCCAGCCTTCCTTCCTGGGTGAGTTTCATGCTGCGCATTAAAATGCGAGGATTTTGTGTGTTCTTTCTCTGTATCACTGAATTTACTATGGTTATTAACATTGTTTACTTCATGCAGGTATGGAATCTTGCGGTATCCATGAGACCACCTTCAACTCAATCATGAAGTGTGATGTGGACATCCGTAAGGACCTGTATGCCAACACAGTGCTGTCTGGAGGTACCACCATGTACCCTGGCATTGCTGACCGTATGCAGAAGGAGATCACTTCCCTTGCTCCTTCCACCATGAAGATCAAGGTGATGCACCTTTGCTGTTTTTGTCTCTAGTTGCGTCTTTGCTTGCAATGATTATGGTGGGCTAACATTGTCTTTTCTCTTGTAGATCATTGCTCCCCCTGAGCGCAAATACTCAGTCTGGATTGGTGGCTCCATCCTGGCCTCCCTGTCCACCTTCCAGCAGATGTGGATCAGTAAGCAGGAGTACGATGAGTCTGGCCCTTCCATTGTCCACAGAAAGTGCTTCTAAACAGAACTGTTGCCACCATAAATGGCCATGCAGTAGGATTCAAACGACCAACCTAAACCTCTCGAACAAGATGACATCAGCATGGCTTCTGCTCTGTTTGGCACATTGACTCGGGATGCGGAAACTGGAAAGGGAGGTAGTTGTCTTATAGGGGTTTTTTTTTTTTTACCTCTCAGTGGTATCAACCGATAGCTTTTTAGCTTTCTTAGCTGGACGGATTTAACGTTAAAGCTTTTTTTCTGTAAACCGAGGGGCTTAATCTATTCTTTTGGGTGTAAAGTGCTTTAATTGATTAATATAATGCAATTAAATGTGGATTTAGTGGAGTAGTGTTCGCAGTTTGAATGGTGGGTGTGGCTACTATAACACCGTAACCGGCATCTCTTCCATCTGAGCCGTTTGATCCGTTCAAGAGGTCTAAACGTTTAAAAGATTGAACGTTTCTTATTCAAGACTGTGAAGTTACGCTGTAATGGAATTTAACAGGCTTGTCGTTCAGTCACTAAATATGATTGCAGCACTCGTGTGCTGAAACGCCTGCACTTCATAGCCACTTGATAAAGGTTAATTTAGCAAGCATCGGGATCATGATGGCGTTCGTCTGGTAAAGCGCTTATCTCGGCCTTTGAAACGGGGAGTGGTCGCGTCCGTTGGTCTGATTCCACGCGATGAATCGGCGGCATTGAGCTGCTCGAACTTATTGCCATATAAGGCAATAGTGAGACTGCCTTACCACTTCCTTTGTCTCAAACCGCTTGGTTTCATCCCTGCGCCTTTGCGCCGCCTACTGGCCAGTCGTCAAAAGCGTCAGACACCACCGCTTACAAGAGAGATACTGCCGATTGCATTAACAATTTAGCTTTTTTTTTTTTACAGCCATGGATGAGGAAATCGCTGCCCTGGTCGTTGACAACGGCTCCGGTATGTGCAAAGCCGGTTTTGCTGGAGATGATGCCCCTCGTGCTGTCTTCCCCTCCATTGTTGGCCGACCCAGGCATCAGGTATATAACTTAGTAACTTTTTAATTCCCTGACGACAGTTTATTAAATGTTAATGTCTGTCATCAAAAGCCTAGAAGATATTTTGTTACTATTAACGTTACCGTTTATTCTTTTGAATGTCAAGTTATACTTGCATAGTATTTAATACAAAACACATTTGCAAAGCAGCTTCACCATAATATACAGCAAATTGTTAATTTTGAAAAACTTAAACCACAACTTCAGGCGTACAGCAACTCTACAGCTAAATGTAGTTCAATGTTGATTTTAATTCGGTTCAATAAGTGTCAGTTTTGCAAGTTCATCAATTATAAAGTTGCTTTTAAAGAGCGCTCTACAGAAGACCGTAGCATCACCATTCAGTTAAGTTTGTTTTCATCGAATACTGTTAATGCAGTGCTAATTGAAGTTCTGAATCATAATGGTCTTTTAAACCCATTTTACATATTGATTCTGAATATTACTTGTTCTTTGTATATCCTCATTGCTGAGTGGCTTGGTGCCTAATCTTTAAACTCCTCTTTCCTCCAGGGAGTGATGGTTGGCATGGGACAGAAGGATTCCTATGTGGGAGATGAGGCTCAGAGCAAGAGAGGTATCCTGACCCTTAAATATCCCATTGAGCACGGTATTGTGACCAACTGGGATGATATGGAGAAGATCTGGCACCACACTTTCTACAATGAGCTGCGTGTTGCCCCTGAGGAGCACCCTGTCCTGCTGACAGAGGCTCCCCTCAATCCCAAAGCCAACAGGGAGAAGATGACACAGGTGCGTCTGTCAAATCATCATATGAATCCTACTGCTCTTGTCCCTTTCCTCTTTATTCACTTCCTTTCTATCCATTTCCTCTCAGGCTCTCTGTCCTCTGCCATGATATCCTGATAGGAGGTTCAAAAGGTTTATCCCTTTTTGAAATGTATTTCCTGCATGGTAGCTTCTCTAACACTTTACTTTTCTAACCCCATCTTGAGTGCGAGAAGTTATAGCATGGTGTGCCAAGGAGGCTTTGCTCCCTTAACCATGCAGTGCCTTTTGGTTCAAATGTGTATTCGTGGAATACGTCAAGAGATATCTGATTCTATAAATTTTTCTACAGATCATGTTTGAGACCTTCAACACCCCTGCCATGTATGTGGCCATCCAGGCTGTGCTCTCCCTGTATGCTTCTGGTCGTACTACCGGTATCGTGATGGACTCCGGTGATGGTGTGACCCACACCGTGCCCATCTACGAGGGTTATGCTCTTCCCCACGCCATCCTGCGTTTGGATCTGGCTGGTCGTGACCTGACCGACTACCTGATGAAGATCCTGACCGAGCGTGGCTACAGCTTCACCACCACGGCCGAGAGAGAAATTGTCCGTGACATCAAGGAGAAGCTGTGCTACGTGGCCCTCGACTTTGAGCAGGAGATGGGAACCGCGGCCTCCTCTTCCTCCCTGGAGAAGAGCTACGAGCTGCCTGATGGGCAGGTCATCACCATCGGCAATGAGCGTTTCCGTTGCCCTGAGGCTCTCTTCCAGCCTTCCTTCCTGGGTGAGTTTTATGCTGTGCATTAAAATGCAAAGGTTTTGTGTGCCGTATTGCCGAATCATTGAGATTTAACCTTTTTGTTTCTTTCATACAGGTATGGAATCTTGCGGTATCCATGAGACTACCTTCAACTCCATCATGAAGTGTGACGTGGACATCCGTAAAGACCTGTATGCCAACACCGTGCTGTCTGGAGGTACCACCATGTACCCTGGCATTGCTGACCGTATGCAGAAGGAGATCACCTCCCTTGCTCCTTCCACCATGAAGATCAAGGTGATGCACCTTTTAGTTTTTTTTTTTTGTTTGTTTTTTTTTTTTTTTTTTTTTTTTTTTTTTACTAAAGAGAAAGGAAAAAATGAAATCGCATCATATGACCCCTTTAAGGTAAAACAACATTATTTTCCGCACTACATTGTTTCTCCTCTATGCTCCACCTTTCTTAAACGCCTCTTTTTACAAAGCTCATCCTTCTGAAAAGCTAGGTGTGCTCTGATTGGCCAGCTATCCTCTTGTAGATCATTGCTCCCCCTGAGCGCAAATACTCAGTCTGGATTGGTGGCTCCATCCTGGCCTCCCTGTCCACCTTCCAGCAGATGTGGATCAGCAAGCAGGAGTACGATGAGTCTGGCCCTTCCATCGTCCACAGGAAGTGCTTCTAAACGGAACTGTTGCCACATAAATGGCCATGCAGTAGGATTCAATCGAACGACCAATCTAAACCTCTCAAACAAGATGACATCAGCATGGCTTCTGCTCTGTATGGCGCATTGACTCAGGATGCGAAAACTGGAAAGGGAGGTAGTTGTCTTACAGGGGGAAGAGCTTTCCCCGAGAGGACTTCAATGTACATTTCTTCTTTTAGTCATTCCAGAAGCGTCTACCACTTCGCCCTCATCACTGTGGGCATACATGACCTTTGTTATAGTGTTTATAAATTATGTACTCGCTGCAAATATATATATATTTTTTTTGTACTTCAGCCTTAAACTTGGCCCAGTTTGTTATTGTTGCAATGACAGGGAAAGCTTTACCTTTTAAACGTGAATATCTTGCAGGACTCCCCTAGGGTATGTGAATGAGGGACATCCCTTGCGTATGTAAGCCAGGGTGTCTCTGTACACTGACGAGTAAACCCAAATAAAACGTGCACATGTAAAACCACACACTGTCTAGGTCTTCAGTTGTCAAAGCACTTTCTCAGGTTTTGAACTTGTTGAATTCAAACATTTTAGAGGGGTCATATAACGTTGCTAAAAAAAAAAAAAGAACATTATTTGGTGTAATGAAATGTGTTTATGCGGTTTAAAAAAAAAACACTATTTTCCACATACTGTACATTATTGTTTCTCTATGCCCCGCCTTTTTGAAACGCGTCGATTTTTACAAA